TAATGGTTCGAACCCTAAGTGGGGGAGAACCGGGTGCCGTATGTAAGAAAGCAGAGATTTGTCAAGAGCAGGTATAAGTGGAGTATATAGATATGCGGTAAGAAATCATGAGACCAGAGATGTCGGTGATCGAGGAAAGGGGTCAGAGTGAGTTAATGCGGGAAGTACTTGTTTGAAAAGGATGAATGTCTCCACGACAGGTGTTTATTAGTCAGGAATCTGGTATTGGTCGGTGTTGGGGCAAGTAGATAAAGAATGATTGGGCAGCCAACTCCCGGGTCGGTATGCGTATCCTTGTTTGGATTTTGAGCGGCGGGAAAAAGGGTTTCGGAGAATTATCAGCGTATTTCGTAGCGTTAGCGTTTCTTCGTATTGCAATTGAGAAATTGAATACACCGAAGTTGCAACTTGGGAAAAATGAAGATCTAGTTATGGGGTTCAGAGGGAATGTATTATTGCATCTATATGGTGCTTGGGGCAGGAGATCTGTGGTTGTGGCAGGATCTTGTGATGTTCGGTGGGGGTGTTCCGAGGTATCCGGGTATTGATATCTTTATTTCGAAGTTATTCGTGAATCTTGAGTTGAGACGACTTGTGGTATATCAGGTATCTATGGAACTAGTGATAGCCCTTCGAGTATGGGCATCCAGGGAGATTACTTGGGAGAGTGGATCTTCGCAAGGGTGGGCATCTGTTATGACGATTGCCTCCAGAGTCTGTGATGAATATTCGAGACGAGTATGGGTAGCCGCCTATGATAGTCTGTGGAGCACGAGCTAGTGGAGTCAGAGGGTGTTGTGATACTGCGGGGAGCCGTAGTACTCACTAGTCAGAGGGTGTTGTGATACTGCGGAGAGCCGTAGTACTCACTAGTCAGAGGGTGTTGTGATACTGCGGAGAGCCGTAGTACTCACTAGTCAGAGGGTGTTGTGATACTGCGGGGAGCCGTAGTACTCACTAGTCAGAGGGTGTTGTGATACCGCGGGGAGCCGTAGTGCTCACTAGATGGCAAGAGAGTGTGATGATGGAATGTTCTCCGATCAATGTATGATGTGGAAGAGTTTTGGGCTTGAGTAGCCCTAGTATTGAGTTTTTGGAGCCTGGATGTTGGACCGGGGGTGAGACTGGGGTCCCCGTCTCTGTCGGGGAATGTGGTGAGATGGCAAGGGATATGCGCAGCAGAAACCAGATATCAGAGTGGAGACGATCCTCGGTTGGATTGTACTTTCTTGCATAAGGAAAAGAGAATTTCGTGACTTGCGTGTCACGGGGCCGGGATAGTGGTCACGGGGAGGAAGTTAGTGGGATATTTGGATCATGATTTGGGTGACCTTTGGAGGCTCAGCTGTGGAGTCAAAAGCTGACCTGGTGCCCAGTCTCGAAGAGGGATATGTGATGAGCTAGAGCTTATCCTGATGATGTCGGAGGACACCTCAGAGGGACTGAACGATTCAGACGCTCAAAGACATGCTTCGGGCTTGGTTCTCATGATTGCGTGACAAGCTTTATTTTCTTGGGTTTCATTCTTCTAAGGCAGACACATCTCTTTTTTTTCTCCATCAAAAGGATGTCACTGTCTATATGTTTTCTATATGCTGGTGTACGTTGATGACATTGTTATTGTGGGTTCATCTCAAGTTGTTGTTGACAAACTCGTCAAGCACTAAGCTCTTCTTTTCCTATCAAAGATCTGGGGAAGTCACACTATTTTCTAGGAATTGAGGTGCTTCACAATTCAGGGGGAATCACATTGTTACAGCAAAAGTATGCCTCTGATCTGTTAAAGCGTACTAATATGGAGAATTGTAAAGCAGTCTCAACTCCAATGCTGGTCACAGACAAGCTGTCGCTAAATTCTGGAAAACAGCTCAATGAGAAAGATATGTTCAAGTATAGGAGCATGGTTGGTGGTCTGTAGTATCTTACTTTAACAAGACTCGATATTTCTTTTCCAGTCAACGAAGTCTGTCAGTTTTTGGCCAAACCCATAGATGTGCATCTCGAAGCAGTAAAGAGAATATTAAGATATATAAAGGGCACGATCAATACAGGGCTTCATGTTCGAAAGACCACCTCCACATTGTTAAGTGTGTTCACTAATGCAAATTGGGCAGGTTGCATAGACTATAGCCGATCCACTGGCGGTTTAGCAATATTTTTAGGACCCAACTTGATTTCATGGAGCTCGCGAAAACAACCGACAGTGTCTAAATCAAGTACCGAGGCGGAATACAAAGCTTTAGCAAATGGGACAGCAGAAGCAACGTGGATTCAATCAATACTCAGAGAGTTAGGTGTCAAACAAGCTCGAGCCCCGATTCTATGGTGTGACAACTTAGGAGCTACATACTTGACTGCTAATCCAATGTTTCATGCTAGAACAAAGCACATAGAAGTTGATTTTCATTTTGTTAGAGAAAAGGTAGCAATGGGGGCTTTAGATGTTCGATTTATATCCTCAAATGATCAATTGGCAGATGGTCCGACTAAACCCACAACTCGAAACATGTTGGAGAAAATGAGATACAATCTCAACCTAGTTACGCTCAAGATTGAGGGGGAATGTAAAGATAAGAAAGATAAGATCGGATAGTTTTGTTATAGTTTTAGATATATTGTTGTATTATCATCAGATCCTTAATCATAGGATCTTTAGTTGTATATTCACGTTATATAATGAGATCGATACCCAAGAGGGTCATTAAGCCAAATACAGTTTCTAACTATTCGTAGAAGGAAGTTGCAATTGTTATGTAAACAAAAACCATAGAGTTTCACAATGTTTTTGTGCCTTAGGTTGGTTAAGACTTGGATCTCGTTCTTGAAACTCTTGTTGCTTGGCTTCAAACCGATGGAGTTTCTTCAAAGAAAATGTTTTACCGTTAGGCAGTTTTGCTTCATATACACTTCCATAGCCACCGGTTCCAATGCAATATTTGAGGTCAAAGTCCTATGTTGCCTTGACGAAGTCGTCGAATGCAAGTGTCCCATCGTAATTCAATATCGAGCACACATCTCCATGTATTTGTAGTTCATGCTAACTTTTCCTGTGGTAGCCTTTTTATAACGGTAAAGCACATAACCAATCACTAAGAAACAAAATCCAACAATCATCGGAAGAAGAATCTCCAAAAGGAGGATGGATTTGTGTTCTTTGGAGGGCTTGCATAGAAAGCCAGTTTCTGTACAATATCCCAAATAAAGCCTAGACACGTTTAGACTATAGTACTCCAATGATAAGAAATTCAAACAATTTACTGCTTCTCCAACAAAAATATTATCACTAAGGTCCAGATACCTTAAACGGTAGCAATTAGTTAATCCGTTGTAACCAGTCAGGAAATTATGAGAGAGGTCTAGATACTCTAATCTGCACGGATACTGAAAGGATACATTCCCGGACAAACCGTTTAATGAAAAATCAAGGTGAGAGAGTCTTGGCAAGTTTCTGAATTCGAGATGAAACACACCAGAAAGATGGTTATGATTAAGGTCGAGTTGTTTTAAGTACCGATATTCCATATGTGGAGGAATGGGGCGACTGATGTTATTCATACTAAGGTTCAAAATTATCAGTTGGCTTAAAGAACCCATAGCTGAGGGAATTGGACCTTGAAAAAGATTGTCACCCAGGCTCAACGTTTCTAGATTTTGCAGATTACCAAGTTCTTGTGGAATTGCTCCTCTTAATTGATTTTTGCTAACATCCAGATATTTTAAATTTCTAAGATTCCCCAACTGAGATGGGAGGGTACCAATGAAACGGTTACCAGAAAGGTCAAGGTGTTCTAATTGGGTGAGATTGACCATGGAAGCAAAAGATTGAAGGATTGGACCGGTGAACTGATTGTGGCTAAGATCCAAGAACTTCAAGTTCTTGAGACTCCACAACTGAGATGGGAGGTTTCCGCTGAAATAGTTAGCTGAAAGGTCAAGGTGTTCTAATTGGGTGAGATTGACCATATAATCAAAGATTGAGGTATTGGACCAGTCAACCAATTGTGGCTAAGATCCAGAAACTTCAAGTTATTGAGACTCAGAGATGAGAGGTTTCCGCTGAGATAGTTGCCTGAAAGGTCAAGGTATTCTAATCGGGTGAGATTGGTAAAGAATAAAGGCAATGTATCTATGTAATAATTCAGCGTGAGAGAAACATAGGTTAGATTTCTGAGCAAGCCAATCTGGTGTAGGTTATTTCCTTCAAGAAAAGTATCTGAAATTTTTAGCATCTCAAGGCTCGGAAATGAGGAAAAGGTTATGTTTTCATAACAACGAAAGATGTTTATTTGAACCACACTTCCGTTGTTGCAAGTGAAGTGATTCCAACCATTATAACAATCATACACACCTTGAATATAAGTAGGACACGGGGATGCTAACCTGAAAGAAAGCATCATCAGCATGGTTAATGTGTGCACGGGAATGCTAATCTTGGATGAGGTGTTCCGCATTGTTTGATGATGTGACGAGAAACATTTTATGCATATCGAGACTATAGAGTTTTAGAGTCAATTTAGAAGAGGACACAAAGTCGATACTTGTTATATTTTTTCTAGGGTTAATACCAAAAAAGCCATAAGTTTTACATTGTTATTCTAAATTAGCCCTAAATGGATTTTTTGTGTCTAATTAGCCTAAATAATTGTGACCCCATTTCAAAATCGTGTTATCATCCGGTTAACAGCCGGTCAAGGTACGCAGCCGCACACCACTCTCCTATACTACTTGATAGTTCGTATACCACCTAATATCACCTTTCACAGAAACGTCTTTCATCAAAAAAAGGGTTTCTTGTAGTTGGTCTTACGAAGAAGAAGCGTTTGAAAAGGGTTTCTTACACCATTGTTGCATGCAAAAAAGCTTCTATTTTGAAGTTGATAATCACTGAAGTAGAAAGGTACGTGGGGTGCCAATAAGAAATTGATGTGTATGTGTGTTCTTATCTTACATAATCGAGTTCCATAGTGTCACTTACAAGTATAATTTTTCATTTTGAACAGATGGCTTCATCATCTGGAACTAAAAAGGTGAAAGGGCCTGAAAAGGTTTATGTAAGGGACGAGGACTCTGATGATGATCTCATAGATTTCTCTTTCCTGGATTTTGCACCAGAGACCTTTAAACCGACCTCAAACCTGTCTGATGACCCATTTCTTAACATGTTATGTGATGAAAATATGCTAAGGAGGACTCTTGATGGAATGGGAGATGATGATCATGAAGTTGGTGTTAAGGATCCAGAACATGATCATATTGATGATCAAAATGACGGTGAAGTAGGTGTAGAGTACAGGGTTCATGATCCAGACATACATTGGAAACAAATGAAGCCGGTAGTGGGAGAGTGTTACGAGTCCCCTGCTCAACTCAGGTTTGCATTAACTAACTATGCGGTAGCTAATGGATATCAGTTGTGGTTTATGAAGAGTGATAGGCATAGAGTGATTGCTAGGTGTGGGAAAATATATAAAAAAGACCCATGTCCCTTTAGAGTTTATGCTGCTTGGAAGTATAATGAACGAACATTTCAGATTAAATCTATATGTGACATACATCTATGTGCCAGAAATTTTAATTTTGGAACTTTGGTTAGTTGTAACTGGTTGGCCAAACATTACTTGAAGGATATTGTTATGAAGCCAAAGATGACATTAACTGAGATGAAGGAAGATGTACTTAGGATGTTTTCAGTAAATGTATCCAAGGGGAAATGTCACAGGGCTAGGACAAAGGCAAGAGAGATGATAGAAGGTAAGTTAGAAGAACATTATGCAAAGGTATGGGACTATGCTGCAGAAATCCTTAGGTCTAACCCAGGGAGCACTTGTAAGTTGGGAGTAGATTCTAATGCAAGTGGCATGAACTATTTCAAAAGGTTTTATGTGTGTTTAAAGGCTTTTAAGGATGGTTGGAATAGGGGTTGCAGACGTGTGATAGGTTTGGATGGTTGTTTCCTAAAGGGTCAGATCAAGGGAGAACTTTTGACTGCTATTGGAAGAGATGAAGACAATCATGTATATCCAATAGCATGGGCAGTGATCAATGTAGAGAACAAAGATAATTGGACTTGGTTTATTGAGTTGTTAGTTGTTGATCTTGACCTTGACTGTGGTAGGGGTCTTGTGGTTATTTCCGATCAGCACAAGGTAAATTATACTATAAATTTGTTTAATTATTATACATTGATAATAATTTTGTTTATTCAATGCCAGGGCCTACTCAAAAGGCAAAGGTTAGCAGGACTGTTAGGTGTGGGAAATGTAGGGAACTTGGTCATAATAAGTTGTCTTGTAAGAATGGAGAAGGTCCAAGTGACCCTGTCCCTAAAAGGAAAAATGGTAGACCAAAGGGAGATGGGGGAGGGAATTTAGTTGTGAACATTGCAAAGACACCAAGGAAAGTAGATAAGGGAAAGAAGAAAGTTGTTGAGGACACATCAAAAGAAGTAAATGAAGGACATAATAAAGTTGTTGATCACACATCAAAAGAAGCAAGTGAGGGAAAGATGAAAGTTGTTGAGGGCACATCAAAAGAAGCAGGTAAGATGATAGATGTTGATCAGTCAATTTCTCCTTTGAAGAGAATGAAGATGATGGCAAGGAGGGGAGGTAAGATCAAATATGTAGGGAGAATAGGGGTTGTGCATGGTAGTATAAGTCAAAATGTGGCAGGTGTTGACCATGAAGATTTTGAAACTATTAAAGATCTGCAGGCATTTGGATATGATCATGGGGAAATTGTTGAAGCTTTTAATAAGGTGTGTAGTTATAAATTTAATTATTAACACAATTTTCTTGAACATTATATGATAATATGTTTATGTTAATTTCTTATTCACAGTTGACAAAAGAGAGGAAGGAGATGTTGGCTGAGAGTATAGTTGATGAAGAGAACAGTCAAGAAACACAAGATCCGTTGGTAAAAAAAAAGGAAGCCCTCAGAAAGAATTATCAAGATTAAGTTGAAAAAAGCAGTGCATGATCCAGATGGAGGTGGTTCAACAATTAAGAAAGCACTTACATTGGACTGATGTTGTTATGGACGGGGGGTTAATTGGGCATAAATCTTTTGATAGCCCTTTTTTGTGAAAGCATCTTTTGGTAACAAGCTTCCAATTTGTTGACAACATGTTATCTTTTGACTGTAAATTTTAGTAACATTGTCATTTTTGGAAATCATCTTTTGGCTTGTAAACATTGTTGTAAAATTGGAAGTTTGGTTCTGATTGTTACCCTCCATGTATGTATTTGGCTATTATGTTTATAAAGATTGTGGTTTGTAGTAAGTTCAAATTTCTATGTCAGTTTGTAATGGATAGTAAATTGTCAATTTCTGGTTAATGCTTTTCATATTAATTGTCCCGTAGGACTATGTATTACAAGGGTATCCATATTACAACCATCAAAATGTTTTCAGATGCTATTACAACTGTGCCAAAATAAGCATCTAATACAATTTCACCTAACCAACAACTTCACAAAAAGACTAAACTAACTTCCTAACTTCCTATAATCTCACCAGCAATACAGTCCCTGTTACCAACATCACTGCAAATAGCATGACCATGATAAACATAAGCTTCATCATCAACATCAACCTCCTATTTTGATCCACATTCACCTGTTCCAACCGAGCATTGCCATCAACCATCCCAACCAGAGCTAAATGCATTTGGTACATGAGGTTTTTGTAATCTTCACTAGGCAAAGGTGGGTCCAACCACATGAAGAACTTACAATACCTGGAAGGATCCTGCACATTTTTATGACAGATTTGCCCTTAGTCCCATAACAAAACTTTATAATGCACATTTTTATGACAAATTTGCCCTTAGTCCCATAACAAAACTCTATACTGGATCAAAGAGTGAAGAACAAATGTGCACATTTTTATGATAGATTTGCCCTTAGTCCCATTCAAAAACTTTATACTACACATTTTTATGACAAATTTGCCCTTAGTCCCATAACAAAACTCTATACTGGATCAAAGAGTGAAGAACATACCTTGTAGTTGGTGCATCCCCTAAATTTTCTTCCAGGATTCTTGTCCGTCCATGAAATTGAGAAGCTAGCCTCAACACCACAACGACACAAAACCATGGGGTTGTTTCTATTCCTGAAATTGACATTAACATTTTGAAATCCTGAAGTCATTGACCCTGTAGACCCTGTAGATGAACTAGCCATGAAGAAGTTAGATGCGTGGAAGAAGAATTCGGAGAATGTAGAAGTAGGAGATGGAAGATGGGTTTCTAACGGTAAAACCCTTATTTGTAAAGGGGTAACCGGCTGAAACCGGGGAAACCGGCTAACATGGTTTGAGGCAAAAGTCAACACATACATAATGGCTAATTAGACACAAAAAATCCATTTAGGGCTAATTTAGAATTATGGTGTAAAACTTATGGCTTTTATGGTATTAACCCTTTTTTCTAAGGGGTTGATTCTTCCAGGGTTCCTTTTGCTCTATCCACATAATTTTATAGTAAATGGACCATTATACCCTTCATTTAAGTTTCGAGATATTGAATAGAAAAAAGATATTTATTTTTTCCAAAAGACCAACTGCAATCTACAGCAAGTAATCCTTTAGCGCTATAATCCTTCTTCCTCCTCCGGCACTGCAATTCCTAAGACCTCTTATTCTTTTTCTTCTGTAAGTGTTTGATTCTATTAATTCCAAAGATAATCTTCACAACGTATGATATATATGTGTTTAATTTTGTTAATTCCCAGTGTGCATGTTTCTTAACAAGCCTCACAGATTCATTCTGTCAATATTCTTTAACATTAATGTCTCTCTCTAAAAGAATATTTGTGGGAAGCCTTTAATAGCTCGATTTTATGCTTCTTCGTCGGCTTTTCACGTGAAGATCTTTAAAAGGAAGCTCTACCACTATTCATCCATAAGTTGGAACTGTTAACTCTAAATCCCTCCCTACCCTCTATGATTATTATTTCGTTGAACAACTTGACTACTAGAATATGGAACTTATTCAGATCTCAAATTTTGTTCTCCATTGTTTCTGAAACTGAATGTGCCGGTAAAAATAACTTGACGAAGATTCTATTAGTCAATAAAATAATATAGTGTATATATATATATTCCCCTAGATTATTGTATTTGATCATTTCCTTAATATAAGGATTCGTTGTTGTATTTGTATATATACCCTTCATCAATCAATGAGATAAGCTAGGATTATCCTCTGATATTGAAAGCCAGGTTACATAAAGTCGTCTTGTACTACAACTGTGGCTTACCCTCTGACATTGTGGTTTCTTTTATCAACCAAAGCCTGCCAACGTGGGACACGAAATTTAGCATGCTGCAAATTTAACATCGCCAATCCACTTGAAAGAGTAACAACACAATGATATACTCTTCCAGTGGAGCCCTTGTTGTTGCACACGCTAACATAGCTGATGAACCAACTCCTTCACACCAAAATGGCAAAATCACCCTAATCAAACCAGACTTGCGGTCTTATAAACACCAGTAACCGTGGTTGTGGTGGAAACAACAATCGTGGTTGCGGTGCTCCTTCTGGAAATCACAGCAGCAAGCCTCCGGGTAATGCCCATACCCGTATTTGGCTACATATGCTCCACCACCATGTCTTTTTTCGGCAGCAAGGGTGGGCCTACCCATAGAATTATAGACAATCATATCAACAACATTCCAGGCCTGATCGCTCATCTCATCAGCCATGCCACGCCCAATATACGGCTGAAACAAACCCGTTGGACCCCACAGCTCTTGGAGAAGCTCTTCACACAATGACCTTAGACAGTGCGTGTTTCAATGGTTTATGGACACTGGAGCAACCTCACACGTCACTAGTAACGAAGGTATAATTTCCAATCCATTAAAAACAAGTCATATTCAGTCTATCTATGTTGGGAATGGTCATAGCATCCCTATCAAAGGTTCTGGTAACACCACACTTTTCTTCCTAACCACTCGGACTATTTTGAAAAGTGTCATGTTAGCACCTCAAATCATTAAAAACCTCATATCTGTTAGAAAATTCACATCTGATAATTATGATTTTGTTGAATTTGCTCCATACGGTTTTTCTGTGAAGGATTTGATGACTGGGAGGATCTTGTCTCGACACAATAGTTGTGGAATATTATACCCTATCACGTCGCACCCTCAGCAACAATTTTGTTTCTACTTCCAGTTCGGACTTATGGCACAATCGCCTTGGACACCCTGACGATAATATTTTAGATCATCTTTGTTTTAATACATTCATTCCATGTAATGTGGCTAGTCATTTGAATAATGTTTGCAATTCATGTCAAATTTCTAAACACAAACTTCTACCATTTTTTGATTCTAAATCTACTACGTTGCTACCATTTGACATCGTCCATTGTGATTTATGGACCTCACCCGTCCACAACAACTCAGGTTACAAGTATTACATGGTTCTTATTGATAACTTCACACAATACGTACGGGTCTTTCCTGTAAAATATAAGTCTGACACATTCATCAAATTCAAGCAATTTCATTCTTACGTACTCACTCGATTTAATGCTAAAATCAAAACTTTTCAATCTGACATGGGTGGCGAATTTGATAACAGAAAATTTCGTACTTTTGCTTCGACCCACAACTTACATTTCCGATTTTCGTGTCCACAGATATCCCCTCAAAATGGAAAAGATGGATGTATGGTTCAATGATTCAATGAAATTATCATCGCGTTATTCACTCGTGCCCCTCTCCCCCCCTTCCTTTTGGGTCGAAGCACTTCACACAGTCGTCTACCTCTATAACATTCTTCCAGAAAACTCTTCACCTTCGCACTCCTACATCCGTACTTTACCACTAACACCCCACCTACGATCACTTGCACACCTCCGAATGTACGTGCTATCCAAACTGATCCACATATAGAACACATAAACTTGGCCCTCGCTCCATTCTTTACAATTTCCTTGGGTACCCACCGAACTAACAAGGTTACCGATACCTTGAATTCTCCATTGGTAGAGTATTTCTTTCTCGACAAGTCACCTTTGATGAAACATCCTTCCCGTAGCAGTCTCACCACTCCAAGCCATCAAACACCGATATATCCTCCCTTTCTCCTCATCTTGATATTTTCCCACCTTCACCAATCGCTCCTTCCATCTGTAACATCCCAAAAATACGGTCCAAGAACTTCATTTTAAAATAATTTAAGAAAGCCATAATCCATAAAACGTCACAATAAAATCATAAGTTATGTATCTCAAATCATCATACAAAATGTTATGTCAAAAATCATCTCTCAAAATATCAGAGGCTAAAACATCCCAGGCTGCAATCATCCCGAGCTCTTCTCTTTGTTACCGGAAGTACCTGAAACCAAAAATGAAAACTATAAGCATGAAGCTTAGTGAGACTCCCTAAACTACCACATAGAATACACATATACATGCAACTAGGAGATACGGGCTCCACCCACACTCATGGAGATACGGGCCCCACCCACACTCTGCTAATTGGGGGATTCGGGACCCACCCACACTCCGCTGGCTATGAGATACAACCCCCCTCCCACACACACACACTCAACTACTATCAGATACGGGTGCCGCCCACACTCGACTGCTATGAGATACGGGCCCCGCCCACACTCAGTTACTGAACAAGTATATAAGTATCACACAGACAACAAGTATAACTAAGTCTATCAATCAGTCATATATATCCATACTCAAATAAAGCTATGAGATACGGGCCCCACCCACACTCGGCTGCTATGATATATGGGCCCCGCCTACACTCGGCTACTAATCACACATATGTGGGCCAGCCTTAATGTATTCGACTCGTTCTACCAGAGGAAAACTCACCTCTCAAACTGGGTGCTGAACTCTCGCGTGAGGAATCTCTGATTGCTACTCCCACGACTCCCCGACTATAAATTCACAATGAACACTTAGTCAAAAACTGAAAATGCTTCTAAGGGTAAAATGACCATTTTACCCTTGGTCAAAGTCAACATTTTGGTCAAAGTCAACATTTTGGTCAAAGTCAGCATTTTGGGTTGACCCGACTTGCCGGGTTACTCCCTCAACTCGCCAAGTCCTAAAACCCTGAAATCACGATCTAACTCGTCGAGTTAAGCACCTGACTCGCCGAGTTCCCTGACTAGTAATGGTCGTGATTTGGCGAATCAACTCGTCGAGTTACCTACAGACTCGACGAGTTCTACCATCATAGAAAACGGGACAACACAACTCAACTCGTCGAGTTCCTATATGGACGCGACAAGTTCCTCTGTTTGATTGGGCCATCTTAACAGATTAAGCCTCTACTCTTCAGATCCAAACACCATAACTCCTCTAAGCACTGGAAATGCCTTCTTAAGGGTAAAGTTTCCAACTTTACCCGCTTATAGTCCTTCTTAATGGGTTTAGCTCAAACCCTAGTTCTTTAGGACATAGATCTTTGTCCAAAAGCCTTATTACTCCAACCCAAAGCATGAAAACCTAGATCTAGGTCCTAAACACGCAATGAAAACGTAAAAGTCTCGGACTTTACTTCCATGCATGGCCTTTTGGCTTAAAAAGGCCATAAAAACGTCCTTAAGCTTGCATGGGGCTTCCATGGTCATAAATTTTGCACCTTTATTCCATCAAACCCCTTCTAGATCCCAGATCTAAAGGATAAACCACTTGGGACGTCCATGTCCCAAGGATCAAGGTTCTTGAACCAAAACCCCCATAAATGGACATAAGAAGATCTAATGAATTAAAAGCCAAGATGGAGACTTGATTACCAGAAAATGATGAGAATGTAAGGAAGTTTCTGGATCTACTATCTTCTCATTGAGCGTTTTACTCCTTCTTCTTCAAGTTTCAAGAACATACAAGATTACTCAAAAATGGCTCACACACTCACAAAATGCTCTAGGGTTTTGTGGATTAGAGTTTGGGACTTGGAGGCTGGAAATGCGGACATAAGGTGGGGATTAGGTTGCTTAAATAGGGTGCACAACCCCAAAATTAGGGTTTCATCTACTCGACGAGTTGAGGGCTCTTAACTCGTCGAGTAGATGGCTTAAAACCCGCTTTCAATCTCGCTTCTACTCGATGAGCCTGGGGTTCCAAACTCGTCGAGTAGCTCTACAAAAATAAACAAATTACAATTAAATGTGTACCAGGAATGAGGCGTTACACCGTCACCCCTGCCTATACGCCACCATCCCTGTAACTTTTGGCATTTCTTACCCCTCCATCTACACCACCTATAAACTGTAACATTTATAATCCAGGTAAATTACATTTTTTACCCTTATGTATGGAATTTATTGCAAAATTGGACCCATGGTGGATCTGAACTTGTTGGTTATTTCATTAGATCTTGCCAGATGTGGAGTTTTATGTTTATTAGCCCCCATAATCTTGGTTCATTTGAGTATGAGTTACTCTAGACCAAATTAGTTGTCATTTTGGATGTTTTATAGTGTCTAGAGTGATAAAAATGTAATATTGGTCCTTCTTTTCCTACGATACAAAGGTTATGATGTTTTAATGGGTTAAGAAGTTAGGGTTTTAAGGTTTGGGCACTAAATAGTCATGCAAGGTCATCAAGTTGGAAACTTTATGATTTAGAACACTATTTGGGACTAGATTTGGGCTTTGGACGAAAGGACTTAAGGAAATAAGCACTTAATGGGATGGTTGTTATCTGGTCGCGTATACTCGGCATACTTCTAAGTACGCTGGACGTACGCAATTGAGTTCCCATTTCTAGATCAGTGAGTACATCGTGTGTACATGTTGAGTATGTTGGGCGTATTCATCCTGAGTCAACTCAGTTGACTTTTTGATATTTGACTTTGACCAGGTTTGATATAAGGGTATTTTAGGTATTTTGAGTTTTAGACGGAGATTTGCTTAATATTTGTTGTAAAGGTGATTGGTAGAGTTCGTATTCAGAGCATCATGTTGTTCAGATTTTTCTTCAGACTATGAGGTTAGTTTTCTTGACTGTACTTGTGGGTCAAAGGCACCAAGGCCGACCCACTAGATTTGATATCCTAGTATATTTATTGATGTTATGTTGAGTATGTGGTAGATCTGTGTGATTACATGATTATTATTTATATGCATTAGATTTGTAGATCTATATGATTACCTTATGATTTCTGATATGTGTTAGATTGGTAGATTTGTATGATTACCTGTATTGTTGGATATTGATTGTTATTGTATATGTCGACATGTTATGGTTTGTTGGGTTGAGGTGGTCCTACTTTGTGCTGAAAGCCAAGATACCTAGGGCGGTCCGGATAGACTGAAGGCCCGAGAGGTGGTCCAGTCAGGCCAAAGGCCCGGAGAGCTGTTCGGATAGGCTGTAGGCCCTGCGAGTCATTCCAATAAGGTTGAAGACTTGAGGAGCGGACCAGATAGGTTGTAGGCCCAGTGAGGTAGTCTAGGCATGCTGAAGGCTCATGTATGCATGTTGTATCTATATTGGTTGTGTGTGGTACTTTGGGGGAACTCACTAAGCTTTGGCTTACAGTTTCAGTTTTATGTTTCAGGTGCTTCAAATGATCGGGGGAAAGCAAAGGCGTGATCATGCGCATCCTTATGATTTTATGATATTTGATTTTGGGACACTCTGATATGTGAATATTACTTTTGGGAACAATGTTTTGTAAATAGTTATGGAGTTTGGTTGGATTTTAAAAATGAAAATTTTACCTTGATTTTTGGGATGTTACAAGTTGGTATCAAAGCCTTGGTTTGAGAGCATTAGATGAGCATTCGTGTGAATCCAGACTCAAACTAAGAATCTGTAAAAGTTTTCAAAATAATTTTCAAAAACTATTTTCAAAAGTAACCAAGGAATGATGAGATGTGTATGATCATTCAGATCAAGAAAGTATACCCTAAGTTACCTACACTGTTATTTGTTATTAGTGACTATGATAGAACTGCATGCTAGTGGTAGGCTAGGGATCTTCAGGAATTGGATGATAGAATTTCCTAATGTATGATGCCTGATAGCCTAGGAGTACTTTTTATATGTTAGATGAAATTGACATCATTATTGTAGTTTCTTAGTATGCCCATCACAGTTGTACATAACTAAGATTCTATAGCTTGAGAATATTTGATTTGACCTTATTTCCTGTTCCTTGTCTGGTTGTGGGATTAAGGTAGAACCAATTATTCGACTGTCCATGGAATCCAGTGTTATGTATGATTAGCATGCATGAGCAGTTGTATGGTTGGTGGAAGTTTCACAAGTGAGTATGTGGGTGTAGCGGGCCAGTTGAGGAATGATTAGCCGCTCTCGGTAGAGTGAGGATAGGATATATGCATATCCTACTTGTGTGTTTGTTTCGGGCAGTTTGTGATGATCCATTGAGACAAATACAGGTAGGTGTGGAAGGTAGTATGGGCTCATACTAATGGAAGCACAGGACCCGTACACATAGCAAGGAAGTCACAAATCTCGAGGGTTTAGTTTATCTGTGATGGTTGTGTTAGTATAAATTGTGGCAATTTTGATGTGTTTTGGTTCATATTTAATATGCTGTTCACGAGAGGATCCGGATCTGGTTCTAGATCTAGAGTGGGTGGCCAGGATAGGCCAGGGTTGACTGATGACCTGATACGAGAGACGATTTCCGTTGAGGTGGCTACTGCTGTCAAGATTTCCATTCGAGAGATGTTTGGGTCTATCAAGACCACTATGATTGAGTTATTTGATGATCACTATGCTGCCCTCACTGAGGTTGTTGTTGCTGCAGCTACCACGGCTGGTGTTGCTGCGGGGATTCGAGGGGAGAGGTCATTCCAGTATTGGGACTTCAACAACACAAATCCCCTAGAGTTTGATGGGGTCAAGGACCCGATTGTGACAATGAGGTGGTTTTATGATTGGGAGGGTTGCTTCTTCACTTGTTCGTGCCCGGCTGACCGGAAGGTCAAGTGCGCCCTAAACCTTCTTCGGCTATGGGTGCAGGATTAGTGGAGATTGGTGACCAGTTTGTATACTCCTGAGGAGAGGGTTGTTGTTACTTGGGAGCAGCTCTCGAAGATGTTTCATATAAGATATGTTCCTCTAATGGATACGGAGAAATTGGCTCAGGAGTACTTGGATCTGAGACAGACGACCGAGACGGCAACGGAGATTACCAAAATGTTCAGTGAGAGTGTTTTATTCTATCATAAGTTCGTTGCTTCAGAGTAGGATCAGGTGACGCAATACTTGAGCATGCTCAAGACGGATATTCGGTAGTCTGTGTCTACCCAATGATGCAGTACCCTCGCTAAGCTTCAACATACCGCAAGGACGCGAGAGATTAAGATACATACCTAGACGAGGAAGCAGCATCAGGCTTCGGTTCAGTCCCAACCTATAGTGAAGTGGTTCAAACCCACTGATTCATGATTAGGAGGTCAGAGGGGCCTCACTGTTGTTGTTTTTTGTATTGTCTTTGCAATCAATACCTGTTATGATGGGCCAGTGTTTCATCATCAGATTGTAAAATTATGATATTTCTCATTTGGCAATTGGCACTTAGGTAAACAGAATACATTGCAATGTCATAATTGCTATTAATAAAGAAAAAATGATACACTTTGAACTATGCTTTGGAAAGCGGCTGATCAACACCAAAGAATGATAGATTTGGGACCCTCATTCATATGATATCCAATATGTCATACTTTACAACATTAATCTATAGAAGGTTATAACATAATTATAGCCAATAATTCTGTATGCAACTGCCTCAGTATAGGCATGTTGAAGATTTAACATTTGGTTCATACGTTAAGGATGCTACAGTAGAGGTCCAGTGTTCTTTGGCTCTACATCAAGTTTTGCATTTCACTTCAATTGCACAAGAATACACATCATCTTGATGCATACTAGAACTAGTTTTTAATTAAAATGAATAAGATAACATAAATAGGTTGGTTGCATATAAAAACACACTTGAAAGAAATTTCAACCGGAAGGCACACAAACAAAGATATGGTCATCAAGTACATATGGTGCCATATCACTTGGATAATTCCTGAGAGACGTTTCTCATTGTCGGACGAGAATTTGGGTCCATGCAAATGCATGCTAGTGCAACATCATAAACACGGAGAATTTCCATTTTAATCCGTCTGTCATCAGTTGGATAAGGGAGTCGCTTGTCAAATATACTTTCCAAAGTTGCACCTTCTCGGTTAGAATAGTTTAGAGACGTTAGGAGGTCTCCAGGATGCTTCCCTCCAATTGTTTCAAGTGCAAGCACTCCAAAGCTATACACATCACATTTTTCGTTCACAATGATGTTATACGTAAGTTCTACATGTTTATACAAAAAGCTTGTTAGTATAGTTTCACCTACTGACAGAGGTAAAGGAATCATTAGAATCTACACATACATACCTGGAGCAATGTATCCCAAAGTTCCTACAACAACGGTTTGGTTGGATGAATCAGGGTCGAGCAATTTGGCTGCTCCAAAGTCGGCAACAAATCCTTTCGTTTCTTTGTTCAAGAGAATGTTGTTGCTTGATATGTCTCGATGAATGATGGGTGGGCTGCAGTCATGATGCATGTATGACAAAGCATGGGCTACCTGTTTGATAATGTTTACCCTTGTCTTCCAATCCAATATGATAGCGAATTCATTGTTACTCAATGCACAAAATAGGCTCCCTTTTTCCATGTATTCATATACAAGGAAGTTGCAATTGTTATGCAAACAAAAACCATAGAGTTTCACAATGTTTTTGTGCCTTAGGTTGGTTAAGACTTGGATCTCGTTCTTGAAACTCTTGTCAAATGCTGGTTGCTTGGCTTCAAACCGATGGAGTTTCTTCAAAGAAAATGTTTTACCGTTTGGCAGTTTTGCTTCATAAACACTTCCATAACCACCGGTTCCAATGCAATATTTGAGGTCGAAGTCCTCTGTTGCCTTGATGAAGTCTTCGAATGCAAGTGTCCCATCGTAATTCAATATTAAGCACACATCTCCATGTATTCGTAGTTCTTGTTGACTTTTCTCTATGGTGGCCTTTTTATTACGGTAAAGCACATAACCAATCACTAAGAAACAAAATCCAACGATCATCGGAAGAAAAATCTCCAAAAGGAAGATATGTTTGTGTTCTTTGGAGGGCTTGCCTTCATAAACACTTCCATAGTCAGTTTTTTTTTACAATATCCCCTATCAAGCCCATACATGTTTAGACTATAGTACTCCAAAAATAAGAAATTTAAACAGTTAACTGCTTCTCCAACAAAAATATTATCACTAGCTAAGGTTCAGATACCTTAAATGGTAGCAATTAGTTAATCCATTGTAACCAGTCAGGAAATTATCAGAGAGGTCTAGATACTGTAATCTACATGGATACTAAAAGGATACATTCCCGGACAAACCGTTTGATGAAAAATCAAGGTGAGAGAGTCTCGGCAAGTTTCTAAATTCAATATGAATGGGGCCACTAATGTTATTCATGCCAAGGTTCAAAAGTATCAGTTGGCTTAAAGAACCCAAAGCTGAGGGAATTGGACCTTGAAGAAGATTGTCACCCATGTTCAATGTTTCTAGCTTTTGCATATTACAAAGTTTCTGTGGAATTGGTCCTCTTAGTTGATTTATGCTCAAGTCTAGGAATTTGAGATTGATCATGGAACCGAAAGATGGAACGATTGGACTGGTTAACCTGTTTCTACTAACATCCAGAAATTCTAAATTTTTGAGAGTCCCCAACTGAGATGGTAGGGTACCACTAAAACTGTTACTAGAAAAGTTGAGATGTACTAATCGGGTGAGACTCCACAATTGAGATGGAAAGGTACCATTTAAACTGTTACTGGAAAGGTCAAGGTGTTCTAATCGGGTGAGATTGACCATGGAAGCAAAAGATTGAAGGATTGGACCGGTCAACTGATTGTGGCTAAGATCTAGAAACTTCAAGTTCTTAAGACTCCACAGCTGAGATGGGAGGTTTCCGCTGAGATTGTTATCTGAAAGGTCAAGGTATTCTAATCGGGTAAGATTGATAAAGGATACAGCAAGGTACCTCCTGTGTTATTATTCCATGAGACCGAAATATATGTCAGATTTTGCAACAAGCCAATCTGGTGTATGATGTTTCCTGTAAGATTACTATCTAAAATATAAAGCCTCTCAACACTCGGAAATGAGGAAATGGTTACCTTTATCAGGTCACTTTCATCACAAGAAAGGATGTCTATCATAACGACACTTCCGTTGTTGCAAGTGATATAATTCTCACCATTATGACATTGTTGAATATCAGGACACCGGGATGCTAACATGAAAGAAAGCATCATCAGCATGGTTAACGTGTGCACAACAATGCTAATTTTGGTGGAGGTGTTCTGCATTGTTTGATGATGTGACGAGTGAGGACAAATGATAACTTTCATTTTATGGATATGGAGACCCTGGAATTTTAGAGTTAGTGTAGAAGATGAGACCTGAAGTCAATAGATATTGGTTTTGTTATATATTTTCTAACCCCTCGTATAGGTTGTGTTTCTCCTAACAGTTAGGACCACAATATTTATTATCTTCAATGATTTCTTAAACCAAGTACGTAGATTTTATTGTAAATTTAAAGAAATTTTTCTTTCTAAGAAGAGTGATTTAGAGATATGATGTGAAATTGAAACGGAAACTTATATGTAAACTAATGTATTATGTCAACTTTTAGATTTAAATTCAATGTTTAACACATCTTCCTATTCTAATAAAAAAATAGTTTTAATCTCTTTTTACATATGTCATCTTATTAGGCCTCGTAATTAATGCATATTTTATTCTATTCTTGTCATCTGTCACCCTATTAAGCTTCCTAATTAATGTATGTCACTTATCAACATATCATTTTCTCAATTTTAAATTTTAAATTTTAAACTTTAAATTTCTCACTCTAATTACATTAAATTAATAACATTAGAATAAAAATTAAAATAAAATTAATACAAATTATAAGGTGATTTATTTAAATTAACGATTATAATTTTATATACCTAAAAAATATCTTTTAATTAATAATTTATTTAAAATAATTGAGTAATAATTTTAAATTCTCACTATAAAAAATTTAATTAATTTTATAACCATGGTTCAACAGGTTATACTCTAGGGTATAATAAAATCACATAAATAGTCTTGTTTAAATGCGAAATAAAACAAATTGTCATCGTGTTTGACAAAATTACAAGAAATAGTATCTACACTTTAACAAATTTACGGACATAGTCCCTAGTTTGACGGAAATTGGAAAAATAAACCCCATTTAAAGTATTATTACATAATTTGTTACAAATATGTATAATTAATAAACCCTAAACGCATAAAACGCACAAGGTTCATATTAATCGGTCGTGCCAACTCCCTCTAGGCTCTCATCTCTAGTCTCTAGTTAACGTGGGAACTGATTCGTACACAACACTTTTTCTCCGTACACAACAAATTGTGCTTTAAAGTGTTGTATTGTACAGCTCTATAATGCATAAATTATTGTGTATGGCAAAAAACTGTTGTGTACGAATCACTACCCGGTTAACATCGAGCATCTGCTCTCAAGCTCGCCTCTCGACTATCGTTATCATGAGGCGACATGTCTTTTGACTGTCGACTCCGAATTGCAGCCTTTTTAACGCCTTCCTTCTCGTCCGACAGTAAGCTATCCTCTTCAAATACTTTAATTTGTTTCAACCCTCAGCCCGAGTTGTTTATTTCCGGAATATAATTCATGTTTTACAGTTTACTTAATAAGATTGCTTTGGTTCTCTAATATGACTTAATAGGAGGCCTTGACACCCTCTTAAAATCAGGACCAAGCAATTTGAATTTCATTTTGTTTAATTTATATTTTCTAGAAGCACACGGAAAAAAAATAGGTTTTGTTTGTAGCAACACTTCGTTGTAAATTTGTAATGACACGACAATAATTGAATCTCAAATTGATGTGTGCTCATTTGATTCAAATTGTCTCCTTCAAACCTGCAATGATAATTTTGTTACCTTCAAATTAGGTTGATCGATGATATCTATTAACTTTGTTACCTTCCAATTAATGCTGGTAAAATAGTAGTCATGATAGATTTGTAAATAACTATATCCTTGATTACGCATTAGAGAGCATGTTGGTTGGCATAATCACTATTTCGTGAAATGTTCTTCGATGTATGTTTCTTATGATGCATCATCTTGCCATTATCATCTTGAAGACATTATACTGATTATAAAGGATCTTGGACCATGAAGGGTTCTCCATTTTACTTTAGAGTGTGCATTAGCTCATATTAGACATCAAATTCACATAGTGATTATTGCATTCACCATCAAGCTAATCAAAGATATTGTCATTTAGTTAACCTTCTATTCTTTATTCTCTGTCATTCTTTTCTACTCTTATTCATGGATTCTAACAATACAATCAATGCTTCATCCGACTTTATTTTGCATGACTATTAGTATTTTTAACTACATTTGAGTCTTAATTAAATATATTTGATACTTATAATGCTTAAATTTTGTTTTGTAGCAGCGAAGACACGCCCAGGAGAAAATGAGCTGAAATGATGTGCTGAAAGCTGAAGAAATGGAAACAAGCATCAGAGTGGAAAAACTGACAAAATAAGGTCACCACAGCAAAGTAACACCTTCACCACGTTGCGGTGACATGTCCGGGTCAAAGAGATTACTTGGGTTATACGCATACGAGGCTTCACCATGACGCGGTTAGACATACATTACGGTGTTGTGGTGTAATTTTGGAAACATTATAAATACCATATTCTTTCATTCTCTGGAGTATGAAATGAGTTTTCCTCGAACGTTGAAGACTTCAGAAACCCTTTGAAGGCCAGAGATCGATTTGGAGCGAGATTTGAAGAGATCGATAGATAAAACACGATTAATCATTCGGTTTGCTTTGTTTTAATCATGTTTAACAGAGTTTACTTTGTTTCTAATTATTTTTTTGCTTCAGTTATGGGCTAAAAACCCTTTACTTTCGTTTAGAGTAGATAAACCTTGAACCTATGTGTTGATTTCAATAACTTCGGATTTAATCTAGTCGTTTATTTATTATGTTGGCTTGATAAGGATCCTCATGTGATAAAGTATTAATCCCTTATGTTTATTGATGAGTATTATAAGGGTTAGATGATCATTCTATCTTAATATACTTGAATCATATAATTTTATGATCATTAGAATTGTAAGACTATAATTAGACCAAAACCTAGAGTTAAATAAAAAAGTAGATAACTTTATTGTATGAGAATATATGTAATGATCATTCATGTATAAAGAAATTGTAATCAATATCATTGATGATAGTTTAATAGTCAAGTCTTTCATAATTCAAACTGAACAATGATTTTTAGGAATATTAGTTCACTTGATCACTTAAATAATCTGTTGAAATCAAAGGATCAGTAGTCGGATCATGATACTAGTCATATTAGGAATCGGTATACAACAAAATTAAATCCATTGCATTATTAGCGAAATCAACCATAGAAGATAGGCGAATCGAAACTAAACGGAAGTACTCTTTATATCTTGTTTTCTAATTTGTTTTGCTTAGCTTAAGTATTTGTTTGATATTTAAACAGAAGTACTCTTTGTGATACAATCTCGAAAGGTGGCTCTCATGGAAATTGTATAGAGAAACATGTTTTTTTTCTATGCGTCGTTTGTTGGAGGTCCAAGGTATATGTATAAGCACTATTTGGACGCCTTAGCTATTTGTAGAGCTATGGTAATTAGTAATATTTTGTCACGTTCACATGTAATGTAAGATGATCCGAAATTACAAAATACATGGAGACTAACTGTATAGATCATTCTCAAGCAGGGTCGTCCCAAACGGGCCGAGGCTAAAATAAAACGGAGGCCCTACAGTTACTAGATATTCAGATGACCACTAAATTTTATTTAAATTTGATAAAAGTTTATAGTTAAAATATGAATCAAATACCCAAGTTTTTTTAACAAATTGTACTAAACATTTATTATTGTTATGTGAAAACAAAATTATATATAAAATAATTCGACAAATTTAAACTAAATTTTGAAAAACAAATGCAAAATAGGAAATTAAAGGGGTTAAATGTCATAAAAATAAAAGTGAATTGAAAAGAAATTCAACAAAATTGGAATAAATGAAAAGTGAGAACGAAGGGGGTAAATGTGCATTTTCAGGAAGTGTAACATAGGGGTGAGCATGGTGCGGTTTGGTGCGGTTTTCAGACCAAACCGAACCGCAAACCGCATGGTGCGGTTTTTGCATTCTTAAAACCGTTGGGTGCGGTTTTGCAATGGTTCAGTTTTTCGGTTTTTAAATGCGGTTTTGGTTTTTAAACCGTGTTAAGAATTTGGTGCAGTTTTTTTTATGTGTTTTTGTGCGGTTTTTTAAAACTGTAAGAACTTAAAACCATGTGCATATAAGCTTGTATTGTGCTGCTTTTTTTTTATACATTCATTTTCAGCTCAAAACAAAATTACATAATCAAAAATTGTAAGTCGCTTAAAATACAACTTGTGACCACTCTCACAAACTAATTAATGATTGAAGGTTGGTTTATTTTAACTTAATTTGTTACAAGCTTATTACATGTAATCGATTAGTACGTTTGGCTAACGATAGAACATTTCTTTTGCACCCCATATAGTTTATACAAACACAAAATAAACATATAATAAATATATTATCGTTTATAACGATTTTAAATAGAATGTATATAATATACATTGATTGATTTATTACTATACACGCTTGCGGTGCGGTTCGGTTTTGATGGACCGGTTTTTAGTATAGAAACCGCACCGCACCGTTGACCTTCGGTTTTTGCAAAAATTAAATCCGAATCATTGGTTTTTGCATCGGTTTCGGTTTTTCGGTTGCAGTTTATTGCGGTTTTATCGGTTTTTCTTTAGTCGGTTCGGTTTTTGCTCACCCTAACATAGGTAAAGAAAATAGATGGAGTAGAATATGGAAACTTCAAGGACAAAAGATGTAAATATTGATTTGAATTTTGTTATACGAACAAATGGAGGATTTGATACGGGAATATATTTGGGAAAAAAAATGCAACAAGAGTGAATCGAAGATGGGGTAAGTGGAACCTTGACAAACGCTATTACCATATAATCTACGACACTACAACAATGTTCATTTTGTTATTTAATATATTGAATAATGTATAAATAACGGTAGTTTGAAAATTGGGCCCTAAACTGGGTTAGAACGTGTGTGGGTTTTAGTGTAGAAAAAAGTTAGAACCAGTTCCATGCATGTGTAGACGTGATTCAGAATTTTGTTGCCAGTAGTGTGTGTTCTCCTTGAAGCCAGTTGTTAAATTAT